ACAGACTGGTCTGAGAAATACATCCCCTGCCGCACTGGGTCAGGGACAGGAGTAGGGCAGGGGCTGGGCTGGGTGTCAGTTCAGCTTTGGAGAGCTGCCAGAAGCAGGATTGGATGTCTGCGGCCACTTGCTGCTGGGTCAGCTGGAGGCAGAGGGCATATTTGGGAGGGAGCGGCTTGTGGGAGAAAGTGAGCTGTGGGGGGTGGCCTTCTCCAGAGGTGCCTTGGATTTTGGCATCATTATCTCACTGGGCTCTGTTTTCTATTTCAGAGAACCCCAGGCCCAGGAGCATACACAGCTTCCGATCAGTTCCCCAAACAGTCCCCAACCATAGCCAAAATGGGCCTAGAACACGGCCTCTTCTTCAACAACACAATTGGTTTATAAAATAAAACCACCTTGGGAGTTTTAGTAAGTTCTTTTGTTTAGAATGCTATTTTGTCTGTTCCTTAGGGGACAGTTGACCATAGAAACACATCGATTGGGTGACCATCTTGCCCACTTTTGTGGAATAGGCCCAGCATAATTACGAATTAACCTTCAAAAGTGTCCTGGTTTGATCAATCAGTCTGCTTGTTTTCTTGAGTTTGTCTGAGTGATGGGGCCCAGGCTGCCCCTGCAGCAGCACTGATAGCCTCTGTGCCCAGGCTATCCACTATGTGGCCTTGGTTTCTCCAGTTCTACTATGATCAGGTCCCCATGAACACTTTGTTGGGTCATCAGCATTAAAGTAGGGTCATGTGGGGCTTGACAGGATCCCCAAAGGTGGTGGTTTCCCTTTTTTCACTCCCTGCAGTATGGATTCAATCTGATGAGTACAGTTATCTGCCAAATAACATTCTGGTCAGTGACAGACTGTATACAACAGTGTTCCCTGAAGAATAAGATGGAGCAGAAATCCCCCCACTGGCTAGTGATGAGCTAGCTTGTGATAACAAGCCTGCTGCACTGCCAATCTTGTGCAAGTATGGCATATACAGCTTGGCAATATTCACACACAACTTGGTTTATCCCCCCCCCCACTCTCCTCTTTTCCTTTTTGTTTTTAAATAAGGTTTTTTTGGGTGTATGTGTGAAAATACTGTACAGAGGGGTTACAATCACACGAGCAAGGTAATGAGTGCATTTCTTGTCATGCATTGAAGCCAGGGCCTTACACTAGGCTGGTGCTCTACCACTTGAGCCATGCCTCCAATTCAGCTTTTGGCTGATTATTCTAGAGATGGAGTCCAGTGAGCTAGTCTGCCTGGACTGTCCTCAAATCTTGATCTTCTGGGTTTCAGCCTCCTGAGTTGCTAGAATTATAAGGTGGGAGCCACTGGCACCTAGCTCAGTATATGTGTATCTTATTCTATGTCTTCCCCCTCCCCTCCTGCCATCTATCAGGTACTTTGAACTTCTGTGTGTGTATGTGTATGTGTGTGTATAATTAGAGTGTCTGCCTTCTTACTAAGTTCATTGTAAAGTCAGTCTGTTACACTAGCAGCCAGCATGCCTGTTGATTCACTGTATCTCTTGAAAAGCATCATTTTCTCTTGTCCTGATTTAATCTCATTGTGTTTATGCTTAAGCATAAACTATATGGTGTGTATATACATACTAGATCACCTATACTATATAGATTTGTGTTTGTACATATTAACAAAAAAAGTAATAATTTATCTCCACTGTTAAATGCAAAGGACTGAAGTTCTCATTTCTAGTCAATGAAAATATCATTTCTAAGCCTGGTGCTGGTGGCTCGCACCTGTAATCCTAGCTACTCAGGAAGCTGAGATCTGAGAATCATGCTTCAAAGACAGCCTGGGAGTGACAATGTTGTCAGACACTTTGTACTCATATATTGTTTTGTAGAATGGGAACTTCTTTGTACAATTAAAGATTTAAAAAAAAAAAAAAAAAGCCTGGGCAGGTAAATCTGTGAGACTCATCTCTAATTAATCACCAGAAAACCAAAAGTGGAGCTCTGGCTCAAAGTGGGAGAGCACTAACCTTAAGAAGAAAAGCTCAGGGAGAGTGCCCAGGCCCTGAGTTCAAGCCCCATGACTAGGGGATGGGAATGAGGGGGGGAGGCTGAGGGGTGGGCGCATGGGTATTGCTGGAGAGAAGCCTGTGAGGGCATGAGAGGGGGTGGGCCTGTCAGGAGGCTGCACAATGGAAGTCCTTTTCCGTCCACGAGCATCACTAGGCAGCTAAGGTGCACGGCAGCAGGGCTCAGCAGAGGTGGAGAACCCAGAGTTGGCAATGAGTAACTTTAATTAAGATAATTAACTAATAAAACACTCATATTGTGTTAAATTTAAAAGGCAAAAAAGCCGTCTCTTCTCTAGACTTATAAACACTTATTAACACAAGTCCTGAGGCAGGAAGGAATTGCTATTGCTGTTTCCCAGAATTAACTCACCTTAGAGGAAGAATCTCCCATGCATTCCTGCACAGCAGGAAGCACTCAGGTAAGTCAGCCGTGTGTGTGTGTGTGTGTGTGTGTGTGTGTGTGTGTGTGTGTGTGTGTGTGTGTGTGTGCGTGTGTGTGCGCGCGCGCACACACACGCACATAAGTAGGATCAAGCAGACACTCTAAAGAATCAGCTGTTCATTGCCTGTGATTCCAGCTACTTGGAAGTGCAGAAATTGTGTATGAAGCCAACTGGGGACAAAGGGTAGTAGCCTCGAGATCCTGTCTCAAAACCAAACATTCCCCTCCCCCCATAGCCTCATTTCAGGCAGGGGTGTGGCTCACCAGACAAGATAATGCTGACAAGAATAACATCTTTGAGGAAGCAGTCAGCTGGGAGGGAAAAGAGATGAGCAGCAATGAACTGCTCACACTCATTGAGCATTTACTATGTGCCAGGCATTGCTGTGGCCACTCCAGGTGTTATACTTAACAACCTTCATAATCATAACCCACAGAACGGGGACTACTATATTATAGATGGCAGAGAAATGTTAACTTGCTCAGTCACACAGCCAGCAGGTCCCCTTATCTTTGTTACCTTTAGTGGGTTCTCAGTTCTTTACAATTCAAAGCACCTGAGGAAAATTTTAAAGGACAGCGGAAACTTTCCAGCAGGGCCGCGCGAGCTGCCCCCAGGATCCTTGGCTTGGCAGCACAGAGCTACTCCCACGGGTGCTCAAGCATCAGAAGCCTCTGACTGGGTTATCATTAAGAGCTGGCAGCCAGGGCTGGAGGCTATGGCCAAGAAATATTTGTGCAATGACATCAGACTTGTAGGGGTGCCAATACAACAATGAGCACTTTGGTACCCAAAGGGAGCTTGGGTGGCAGCGGCTGGGATTCCATTGGTGCTTGTGCCTGCAGACCAAGACACTGCTGGTGGACACAAGTGGAAGCCATGTCCTGGAAAGTGGTGGGTGGGATCTGGAAAGGTAGACGATAGGGAAGTCCCAAGTCTTGTTCCCAGACTTAAGCTGGCACCTGTGCTCTGCTGAGGGCTGGTGTAAGCACAGGAAATGCCTGGGCTCTGGAGGGCTCTACTGCTCGACTTTCTGACATCTGGCGAGAAAGTCAGCTTGGCAAAACTTTCCTCAGAAACAGGAAGGCTGAGCCATCCCATCTCCTCCATCCTTTTTATTTTTGGGTGCCACTACTAGGGCTTGAACTCAGGGCCTGGGTACTGTACCTTAGCTCTCTGGCTCAAGACTGGTGATTGAGGCAGTGTCACTTAAGCCACAACTCCACTTCTCATTGTTTGGTGGTTTAATTGGAGATGAGTCTCGTGGACTTTCCTACCTGAGCCGGCACAGGAATGAGCCACTAGTGTTGGTTCTTCTTTTCCACTCTTTTCCCCCAGACACTATGCTCTCCACTCTGTTGCCTTTAATTCTCTGAGGTCCATAAACTGGAAGGCTAGGATGTGTGTGACAAATAACTAGATAACAAATAGTCACTACATTTGTATACAAGAAAAGAAGACAGAAAAAAAAAAAAAAAGCTGAATTCTAAAAGCTCTGTGAAAAGCCTGGCTGGTCAGGACCTATGGAGAGAGGGCATTGAGGGTACCCAGCTCCACGGGCCAGGGGACCAGTCCTGAGTTTGTAGGAAGAGCTGCAGAACATTAGTCTTCAAAGTACAAGGGCTAAAGCCCTGGGGATGCAGGTAAGCCCCCAGAATTTGCATTTAAAAAAAAAGGTTCTGGCCAGGCAATGGTGACTCACGCCTGTAATCTTAGCTACTCAGGAGGCTGAGATCTGAACATTGTAATTTGAAGCCAGCCTGTGCAGGAAAATCCATGAAACTTTTATCTCCAAGGAACCAGGTAAGATCCAGAAAGGAAGGTTTGGCAAATGGTAGAAAAGGAGGAGGTAAGTGAAAAAGCTAAGGGATAGCACTCAGGCCCAAGTTCAAGCCGTCTAACCAGCACAAACAAAAACAAAACAAAAAACGTGTGATTTTATATCATTTAAAAAATTTGGGGGACAGGAGGTATGGCTCAAGTATAATGTCTGCCTAGCAAGCACAAGACCCTGAGTTCAAACTCCAATACCATTAAAAGAAAAAAAAAAAAACGTTGGTGTATGTTTTCTGCAAGACAGTGTACTGGTGTGAACGCATGGCCTCTCGGTTCAGAAGTCTGCTATAGGCTTCTCAGCAGAGGGGACGCATCTGGACATGGTATGAACTGATCCTCAATCCTGGTGGTGTTTCCTCACAGCTGACAGGGCCAGTCCCTACTATGCAGGATAGGGGCCTATCCCAGCTTTTCATCTGGTCTTCCTTTCAGCAGGAGACTCAGGCCCACTTAAAAGACAGACCAGAGGCCAGAAGAGCCTCGCCTGGACCCCTTTGTTTCTTCTTACTGCCTCCACGCCTCAGCTCTGATCGCCGCATGTTCCCCAGCTGAGAGCCAGACCCTTATTCCCAGCCCACCTACACCTCCCTCCTCCCACTGCGCTTCCAGCATGCTACATCTCTCCAGAACCAGCTCAGGGTGGCTTCTCGGGGCTGAGGCTGTGAGTGGGCAGAATGAACACACTGCTTCAGACACACACTTTTATTCAGTCTGCACAGCCACTGTTGGCAGCTCAGCTCAGCTCTCTGTGGTGGAATGTTCAAAGAATGCACTGGGTGCCTTTCCTACCAAAATCTGACCACAGACACTTTGGGCATCCCAAGGCTTGCTTATTCTTTTTCTAACAGAAAAAAAATAGATCTCTATCAAATATATATATATATATATTTATATATACCCATACACATGGATAGAGACACTTCAACCAAGAGGCAAAGGATCACATGTCTTCTGTGGTTCCTTTTGGTTTGGTACCGTTGGCAGGAGGCGCGAGCTATCTGGAGCCAGCTGGGGGGGCATGCAGTGTGGAGCCAGCGTGGCATGGAGCAGGGCTCCATCAGCCCCCACCGGCATGGGAAGCTGAGGCATGCCCTCACCCCACAAGGAGAGGCCTTGCCAAGGCCCTAACACCCCCGCCCCCGGCAGACGGGGCATGGCGTGGCCAAAAGGAGGGAGCAGCCTCACTCTCCTCAGGTCTTTAACCACAGTCCCTGTGGGGGGACCCAAATGGCCAGTGAGGCTGAGGCTGCCCAAGAAAGCCAAGATAAAAACTGAGCTGTGGATGTGGTATTCTAAGGACAGCAGTCCTGGAGACCACCTCCACACAGGGACCGGCATCATAGGGAAAGGCCTGAAGGCCCACAGCGGCTCGGCCCCGGTAGAAATGGCTGGCTCGGAGCCAAAGCCCATCCTGAGAGCCGCTGGCTTAAGGCTCGTGGGTACTACTTGGCCTGGGATTCAGTGTGTCTGGCCAGACACACAGAAAGGGGAAAAAAAAGTAAAAGCCAAGTGACATCCTGAGACAAAGGGGCTATGCTGGGCATTATCTGCTGACTCAGCCTGAGAGGAACCCAGGGTCTGTCTTCTGGGTGGTGCTTGCAATCTTGGTCTGTGACTACCCTGGGACTGGGAAGCAAGGTCCAGGGAGTGGGTGGGGTTCTGGAACGGCCAGGCAGCAGTATTTCGGGGGGTGGGATGCTGAAGTACAGCCATGAGGATCCCCCCTGCCCAGGTTTCAGGAGCAACCAGTCCTTACTACTCTGCAAAGTCACTTAAGATTCAAGCTGTCTCCTAAGGCCCCAAGGACAGAATCCAGGAAAAGCCTGATGTAGCCAGAGGACAAAGGCAGGGGAAGCACATGGGGCTCATCTCTGGTACAGAGGATGGAAACTGAAGTTTGTCCGAAGCTAGGAAATGTGGGAGTCCCGATGGAGGTTTGGGCTTGGGCGCCATGGTGCATAGACAAGGAAGGCAGAGCCCTGAGGAAACATGGCCTCTGCCCCGCCCCAACGCCACGGTCCCAGGAACACGGGATCTGCCTTGGATGTAAAGCTTGTCCATCTAGCTCCCGATGAGCAGCACCAGGGCCCAGCTGGCCCTTGAGGGGAGGGATGGGTAGGGGTAAGAAGAAGCGGAGCGGAGCTAACAGAAGTGTTTGCTAGAGATGTATTCCCAGGGGCTCTGCACTTGCGTGCCGCTGTCCCTCCCTGACCCCTGCTCCCTGCTGCCTCCTTGTTCCTGCCATCCCTGTCCCTGCTGGGAGGCCCTGTCTGCACCCATGTAGCTCAGAGCTCTCTGGGGATGATGGAGAAGGGGAGCACGGGGCTGCTGGACTCCAGCTCCAGTGCTGTGAGGAAGCAGTCAATGGCAGCCTCGTTCTGGCCCTGAGCCTGCAGAACCTCACCCAGGCCCTGCCATGCTTCGTGGCAGGTGCTCTGTCTTTCGACAGCGTCTCGAAGAACCTTCTGGGCTAGGCTCTTGTGGCCCAGCTGACTCAGCATCAAACCCTGCAAACCAAGCACAGGATAGGGTTAGTGAGGGCCTCCTCACCAGGGGGAAAGGGGAGGAAAAACAGGAGAAGCTTGTTTGCTGGCCACCAGCTGAGAACTCTGGGGGGGTCTTGCTTGGGCACTGACAAGTCCCCATGCCCCATATCCATGCAAACCTGTTTCCGCCCAGCCTTCCTATTTCCTGCAGAAGCTGTTCCTCTTAACCCCAAGGGACAAGGCTTCAAGTCAGGACTTGGCTTTGAATTATCCTCGCTGGGAGATCCTGGGCAATCACAGCCCTCTAGTCCTCAGCTTCCTCTGCACTTGATGGTATTATAGAATCCCCCTCTAGCGCTGTGCTGAGGAACTGAGTCAGTAGGTGAAGGGCAGTGGAGAGGACCTAGCGGGAGTGAGGTCCCAGTGAAGAGCCCCTGCTGCCTGCAGCTTGGAGCTGCCCCTCATCCTAGGGCCTGAGCACTGCATCCCCACGCACCCAGCCCAGCCTGGCAGATGAGGGTCATGGGAGGGAGTGACATGGCCAGGGTAAGAGGTAGTGGCTAGGTGAGAAAGTCGGATGGGCTCAGGGTTGAAAGGCCCTGGGATCAGGAGTAGGCAGGAAGTACAACCCTGAAGTTTGAGATAGGAGAAGTGACAGAAACTATTAACGGGGGAGGGGGGGCGTGGCGGGGGGGGGCTGGGAAGTAAAACAGGGACTCTGTACCAATCATCCCACCCATATTGGGGAAGGAGCTGGGACTGAAGCAGGCCTCAGTTCCCAGAAAGTCTGCTTTGCACCTTTCCCACCAATCTTTGTTCCAGCTTCAAAGGCAGAACAAGATGGCAGAGCGGGAGGGCTCTCCTCTTTTTCTAAGAGGTAAAGTTCCAACAGTGACTACCAGGGCAGGCAGATAGGGGAGAGGGGAGCAGCCAGGATGGGGGTGGGGGTGGGGAGCTGCCTTCTGGAGTCCCCTCTCTGCTGCCCGCCTACTGATGGCCATGTACATTTTTAGCTGGATCATTTTCCTCCTCTCTTAAATCCCCAGAGCTAGGCCTTCGGTTGCTATGGAGATGCACCAGGAAAGATGTGCATGCCTGATTTCATAAAGTTCTCCGAGATCTTGGAACATGACCAATTAGGCGAGAGAGAAAGATGGCGCTCAGGAAGCCTAGGAAAAGCTTATCTCTAGAGGTGCTGGCTGGAGATCCGGTGGCCAGGGGGTGGAGGAGAAGAGGAACTGGACTCATGGCAGCCTCACTTGACCTTGGGCATGGCCACACCCAAGGACCACAAGCAGCTGTGGAGAGGGGGTGGGAAGGGGGGATGGGAGGGAGAAGGAAGGGTGGAGCATTGGGCAGGGGCCTGACTGGCCAGATGCAAGCAGCGCTGAGTCAGGGCTGTCTGGGATCAGGGGCAATGTCTGCCTGGCCAGCAGGGATCCAGGCCAAGCTTATTCTGCCCACATGGCCTGAGCCAGACCCTGTGCACATCACAGTGGAACAGGGCCCACAGGGAGGAGGGAATGAAGGCTGGCAGATGGCTGCCAGGCACTGAAATTAAGCACCAAAAATGGAAGGTTTGAGGCCGTGAGGGCTGCCCAAAAGGAGCAACAGAGGACAGAGGAGGGCCAGCAGGGCCTCCAGAGAGGGCTGGCCCAGAGTGGCCTCTCCACTCAGCTGCTTTTATGGGGCCTCCGTGCACATGACACTTTGTTGGAAGGAAGAATTCCACTGCTGAGACTAAGTCTGAAAGCCCCTGATCTTGTGGGTGTTTGGGAAGGGCCCAGATGTATGTGCAGGCTGAACTCTGTGTGTGTGTGTGTGTGTGTGTGTGTGTGTGTGTGTGTGTGTGTGTGTGTGTGTGTGTGTGTGTGTGTGTGTGTGTGTCACTGTCACCGCGGAAGGTTTGTAGTGACTCCTGCGCATGCCTAGATAGTGGAAAAAGCCCAGGACTTGGCAGCCAGATGGACTGAAATGCCAACTCTGCCCCTGGTAAGTACTGTGGCCATGGCAAATGGATGACTTCTGAGCTGTGGTGTCCCTATCTGTAAACTGGGCATGGGACAGACTTTCCTTGTAAGGCCTGTACAAGGCCTGTACAAGGCCTTACAAGGCCTGTACCCATGGCCATGGGGGTAGACAGATGGTAAATGGCAGTGTCTTCAGGATAAGCTAAGGGTCTTTTGGGATGGGGAGTACTGTTGGCTCTAACTCCAGGGTGCTGACCTTAGAATCTGAAAGGAGACACCAGGCCAGGCTAGGGTCAGGCTGGGGCCCAGAAGCTCAGGACTGTAACAGGATCTGCAGCCACCTGCCCCGGACACCAGCAGCCTTCGTGTTTGGTAGCAACTTGGAGCTGTTTGCTGCCTGACAACCGGGTAGGCCCCAACTCTCAAGACGCAAGGTCTCACCTGCTCTGCCCTCAGTCTGGTACTGTACCACAGCCCAGCATTATACTCCCAGAGCCCCACCCGCTGGAACAGCAGGTCTTTAGGGATATGGCAGAACTGGTGTCTCAAGGTCCCCGCTGAATCTTTCCTGTCCTTTATCTGCTTCAGAGAGGCTCTCAAGTTTAGGTCCTCCCTTTGGCTGTCTACCCACGGGGATCAGATAGCTGTGTGTAAACTGTCGATTGCCACTGAGCACTGAACCTAGGCTGATCCCAGCCTCCAATACAGTTTTAGGGGAGGGATCAGGCTAGGAGGGAAGTACTCAGAACTTTCATCTTCTACTCTTGGCTCCCTTCCTGGATCTCAGGGGAGGGGCACTTGGCCCCATTCATCTGTCTAGATGACAGCCCTTTACCCATACAACTACCTAGAGTTTTACTTGGCTACTGTAAGGCTATAGTGTCCCATCTTTGCCCTGTGCCTCAGGCTGAGAAGAATCGGGCTCCTGACTCCCGCCTGCGTTTCTGTTCTCCACAGCGCAGCAGTTCATTGTTTCGTGGGAAGGTCCTGGACATGGCCATTGCTTCCTGACCTAGAGCTGCCTACCTGGGATGTTCTCCAAGGAGCGTACTTAGCAAGTCCTGCTTCTTAGGAGCAGCGAGGTGGACAGTGAGAGACCCAAGGCCCACTGAGGCCTGGTCCTCCAGTCTGTATGGGGACTCCCTGTCAGGAGCAAGGTTCTTCATGAGGGACAGAGTGTGGTGATGGCTCTAGGGTAGGTGGGGAGGAAGGGGCCTGCTATCTCTTTTTTTGACACTTGCTACTGCGATCGCACCCCACCAACTCAGCACCTTACAATGTCCCCCAGGCAGGACATGATGGCAGGAGCATCTTTTGGAAGTTCTGCCCTGGGAAGCAGCGCTAGCCGTAAGCCAGCTGTGGGCCAAAGCTGAATGTTCCCCGCCCCTGCCCTCAAGTATTTATAGAAGTTATTTTGGGAATTTTCTTTCTGAGCTCAAGGCGCATTCCTGGGATTCTGTAAGGAATCAGCTGGAGGCCACTGGAGCCTTCTGGTCCCTGGAGTCCCTGTTTAGGAACACAGGAAGATCCTCCTCCACTCATCCTGGAGCAGTGCCCGTCCAGAGCTGCTCCAGGCTCTCTAAGGTGTGTCAGTCTCAACCTGTCCAACCAGACTGGGGACTGGCCCTTCACATCCCACATCCTTCCTGGAGCAGGGCTGCTGTAAGGGACGACACACAGGCAGGCCCTACTTCTCTGTTGGGAGAGGAGGCACAAATCCTTCCAGACCCACCAGACAACTGGCTAACATGTTGACCCCAGGGCTTCCTGGGGCTTTCAAAGAGGCTCTTCCTTAAGCTTGCCACTCACTGGGAGCCCAGCTTAGCTAGGGTCTTCCAGCAGAGCAGGTAGCTGTGCCCAGTGGTGCCGACACCATACCTGTCCCTAGCTCTTCCTACATCCTTGAGAAACCAGATGTTTGAGACCAAAGTTGGCCCCTTTGGCCAGACTAGAGATGTCTACCTTCAAAAGAGCAGAGTTGGGCTGAGAGGCCAAAGCATTGCTTGACTAACAGGTGCTCACATCTAGGGACTCTGAAGTCTGTGGACCACCAGGAAGTGGACTCCTTTGCCAGGTCTGGAGAGGGCTGGCCTTGACTCATCACTCTGGACTAGTCAGGTTCTTGGCTGGCTGGAAGCTCTGCCCATCTAGGGGAATAGCCAGCCCTCAGGGTGAGGGCAGAAGGTTGTAGCTGGGCCTTGTGGTCCTGGTTCTAGAGGTGAGCCCTTGCAGTGGGGAATTCGAAGGGGGCCCAGTTGTAGGAGCTGCCCTCTCTGAGCAGGAAGCTGAGCCAAAAGGGAACAGGAGGGCAATCTGGAGGAGTAGACCACTGAACAAGGGGTTTAGCACTATACCGCTAGACACAGCAAGACAGAGTCTTTCCAACTCTTAAGATTCTGAAGCTAAATTAAGTGCTCAACTGTCACTGTGATCTGAACCAGTGCCTGTCCAAGGGTAAGGGAGGTAAGAGAGGGGCCTCTGAAACCCCAGCAAGGCTGATGTTGGGGGGTATATCTTGTAACCTCCCCCCTCCTGGGAACCTGCAGAACGCCCCACCTCCCACTTCCGTACGACACAAGGAACACACTCAGGCAGTACTGATGAGGGGTGAAGAAAGCCATCACAACACAACAACCTTGCCAGGAAGTCAGAGGGCCCAGACATTCTTATCAGCTTGCTTGCCACACAGAAGCAGTATTCCACCTAGCGGAGCTACAGGGGCAGATGGAGCCTCCAATCTTCCCTCCTGCTGCCCAGCTCCCTTGACCCCCCTCCCTGGAAGACTTCCAGCTTCTCCCACTCCCTCAGGCCACCTGTCACAGGACACGAAATGGAGGAGCCCGTACAGGTGGCACATCTTGGACCCTGGAAATGCATGGTATATGCAGGTGAGGCATATGGGCTCAGGGACCGGAGACTGCTGCTCTGTCCACTGCCACCCACTGCAGCATCGGGGACCTCCAAAATGCTGAGCACTGAACTCTGCTTCTCAGCTGCTCAGGATACCGTTCCTCCTTAAAGTCAACAAACAGATGGTGAGCCAGCCTGGCA